GAAAAATTCAGTTTGCTTTAAAGTACATAAGAGCAATGTAAATTTAAATTTTATTACTATTCCAGCTCCGTAACTGTTATGCCAACAGCTGCACTGAGCCTCCGAAATTTCTAGCTGAAGTGATGTTTTGTTGTCGTCCGATTTCCTCCGACCACAACTGAGGATGAGGCGACATGGAGAGAGACGGGGGTGACTTTTGAGCACAATAGACCGTTAGTCCCACTGGGTAAAGTTAAAGTAATTTAAAAAAAAAAACTGGAGAACTTGGATGGTGACGTTTTACGCCCTACGCTAAAGCTACGAATTGTTCCAAATGAATTACAGATAGTTTACGCAAATAAGTATTTCTACTGATAAAAAATAAGTAAAATTTATTTAGGAAGTTTTGACAGCCACAAAGGATATGGGAGGCATATTTTGGACGCATCCGGGATATTTAATGACTGCCGCCACTCAGTTGTCGATGATTGGCCGGCACCATCACGATTGTAAACTGTTCTTGAAGACAATATTATTTGATGAGTTTATCATCTTTAGAGTATACAATATAATGGCTACTGAAGGGGATAAGTATTTAAAAATGCGACTTATCGCAACTGCTTTCATATCAACTGACGTATGAATAGACATAATGGGAGGATTAGAGAAGGCAAAAGTCTTCATTTTATTGCTTTATGTCTCTCACGTAAGCACATAATGCAAATGTTTTAATTTTTAGCGAATACAAGAGAGCTCTATGTCTCTGTCCACTTTCCATGGACTTACCTCTCTCAATCCCTTCTACACTTGATGAAATGGAAAGCTAATGCAGTAAAAATAGCTAGCTGTGCAATCCCAAATCGAAGCCACTCCAAATGCCCCTCTTATAGGCCAACACATAAAAGCATTTCCTGGTGTTTGTAGGCAAAAGGTGCGTTTTTTGTCCCTGATGAATAAAAGCAGTACTCCTCCGCATGGATGAAGGTAGAGGTCAAAGTCCTCGTTTCAACTGCAAGTAATTGTTTGATGTGGACAAAGTGGAACTGCTTTGCAAGCTTCCACAATTTACATAACGAAAAACCCTAAATTCGATGTTTGTCGCCAATATGTGTAATCGATGCGATGATTTTTTAGCAACCTACTCTAAGAGTTAACTTTTATTGGTGCAAAGGTAAGTGTAAGTGAAATGCTCCATTAAATGCTTCGTTATTTTATCAACACCTCGCTTGTAGTTCCTCTTAAACCAAACCGACACGTGCAAGCAGGGCTTGACGAACTAAAAAGGCAACCAAAGTCTTCCGACAATCCGATGAACAAAACAACAGCACTAGAGACAAGATTGAAGGCCGTACAGATAATGACAGTCTCTTAGTGATTATCCTACCAATCATTAGTTTGTTAAATAAAAGCAGGCAATTGGCGTTGCCACAATGTCTGATGCAATGATAGGTAAAAAGAAAATACCTTTTTTGTGCTTTTGTGGCCCCCATGTTAAGCAAACAGGTGTGGTGTTTGTTAATCCCTAAGGCCTACACTTATCAACAATTCCTCATTTCAACTTACAACAATGTATGCCTTATGCATGCTTTAGAGTGAGTCGTGTAATTTCTGGACCTCAGACAACTTGGTCTGGGTTCTATCTTCTATTTCAAGGTGTTATTGGTAGACAAGTCGGACGATTTATGACTGAGGATTTGAATTTTGATGATACATACGGTGAAAGTAAAAATAAAAGGCAAAGGGTGGTAGAGCCTTGATGTTTTTAATAAACACGTGACCACATAAAATGCTAGGAAATCACAAAGACAGGAAGTTGTGTTCGTAGACCTTTGAATAGCTGTTTGTAATTTGCGCCCCTTTTTACTTCCATCTGATTGGTCACTATCGTGGAGAGATTTTAATCACTACAAAAGATAAAAATTCGACGACTGAAAAAAACTTGTGCCCTCTGAGTTTGGATGATACCCGAATTGCCACTCTCTGTGCTTCTGATAGCACACATCCATAGGCAGTAACTCTTGACACCGCCGTATTCGGAAATGTTGGGCAAAACACACTAATAAGTCATTATGCAAGGAAGTATTATCAAGTTCTCGTCTATCTTCAACTCCTCTTCACTTCATAATTCGTCAATGCAAATACTTACAAATCACAGCTTGTCACTTTGGTAGAGCAAGGACCATACAATTAAAAGGCCGCGTGTCACTTGTATTATGCGATTAGCGAATTAGGGAGAGCCAAAAATAACCGAAATGTCAATCTTAAATGAGGTTGAACAGCACACTACTTATTAATCAACTAGGTTAGGCAATCTTCAGTATGGCACAACTTGCCATTTCGCGTTTGTAATGCAGGCCATTAAAAAGCCGCATCCACTTACCTCTATGGAGTAAATCTCCATTAAATGGACGAAAGCGCTTTCAATTAGGATAGTCTTGGATAAATAAATGTCAAGCTCAGTGCTATTAACTCTAAAATAACAAGGAGTGCAAACCGATTGTGCATTTAACTCATTATGCATTTGAAAACTTCCTTTTCTACACAAAATGCATGAAATAATATGCAAAATGAAAGTCCTTCTCGGGGAGGGATGCAATCAAGCCTAGACTTTTGACTATAATTTTAGTTGTCAAGGCGTCCACGATCCTTACACGCCAGATCATTAGATCATACATTTTATTGCCAAGAGGTTTATCACACTTCTAGTAAAGTCTCTAGAGATCCCACGAGGAAGATTGCACCACTGGGAGCACCTCGGTCAGCATTTAACAGGGAATGGCTGATGCGGGAGGCGAGGAGAGACGCAGTAAATACACAGATCATTCAATCTCAGCGGCTTGGCAACCATTCCCATTTTATGGCCTCATGAGGTGTCTGAGGAGAATATTCGTCACGAATCCATTAAAATACTATCAGTTTTTTGCCTTTTCTATAGCGCCGATGGAACATAAAACTGGTGGAGTTCAGGACAACGCAAAAGAAAATGGAAAAAAAACAAAAGAACATTATCGTTTCACCTCGTATTTTATTTAAGAGACCAAATATTTACCAAAATTTGGATGCCAGTACATGTGAAATAACATCAATTAGAGGGTCACGCGAATAACACAGGGCATCTCCAATTGCTTTTTGAGGCTAAATGATTATCATTTGTGCCAATTTGACTCGGACAAGCACCTCTCAGCCCTATAATATGACAGCTTAAAGGATCTTTAATTACAGTATTACCCCATCTAAGAGAGTCTTTACTTCACTACCATAAAGAGGGCTTCGGTGTTAATTAAGCCTTTCATACAAGAGTCATTCATAAGTTCATAAAACCAACTTGTTGCAAAACGCCCCCACACCTATTATTGCAGGAAGAGGGATATAAAACGTCAAGGTAGCATTAAGTACAACTTCCTTCATAAGCCAAGGTTTTCGACGAAGTTTACAACCTTATCCGCAAATAGAACCGCCGAAACCCCGAAAATGTATGGAAATCAGAAAGTGCCACCAAGCAACGCCAAACAGCGAAACAAAAGCAGTAAATTCAAACAAATGGCACGGATAGAGGTAGCAGCTAAACACATATGCCAATTTTCTATGCTTAAAAAGGGTTTTGAATAAAATTTTAGACTTTGTTTGATAAAAATATTTATTGATAATGATTTTGAATTGTGTTGATGCATATCATATCTATTATTATGGCTTGCACGCAAGCGAATATTCAATGCCCAATAGTAGAATGACATTTTCGCTCTTATGCTGGGTAGTTTAAAATTTATGAACAAATTCATTTACAATTCTAGGCATTGTGCAAACATACGAGTCCATTTGCATGCCGAGTTGTTTGCATGACTGTTATTTTGTTGCAGGAAAAAAGGTAGGACTTTACGTAAACTATGGGTAACGAAAATCTAAATTTTGCGTTTCCGGTGGACCAAAGGATTTAGTTGTGCAAATGACAAAACACCGGAACTTATTAATCTTTGATTTGGATCAGATGGCTATTAATAGCTGTTTGTAAAAGCAGCACCTGGTTAAAATTTGGGCTTTATGTAGTCCATAATTGCGATTTTTTGTCTAGTGAATGGCTTCATTGTTTTTCATCTCTTTTTGTCAACACTTACCCCATAGCATTATATTTCTTTCGGATTTTAAAGAAAAGTTACCATAGGGTGTTTATCACCGGGCCAATGACTGAATAAAATTTATGCCATTGAGAGGAAGCCTAGCAATGGCGATTTTGTCGCCTCAAATGCGTTCTTTGCAGGCAAATATTTACTTTTCTATAAGCTGCTCTTGAATAGCATACCAATGATTACTTCAACACACCAATAAAGTGACAATGTGTGATTGCTACAACAGTGACAGTTGAAGTGGTCTTAATAACTCCCAAGTGGACATGAATAGCGCACTTGAATTTGGGGTGTTTGCCAAATGAGCAGTCTAATGTCGACTTGACTAATTTACATACGCTTGTTCCCTTGCCACTCCACCTTCTGTAAAAACGACCAAACTACTAACTAACCACCCACCATACAACTTTAATCCACCTACCACTTTATCGTAAGAAGTTGTTCATTTGTGACTTGTACGTGCATAGGTTCGCGCTCTAGTTTGTGCGTGTGTGGGTGAGCAGAAGGGAGGAGAATTTGACTGAGCCTTTTGCTAGCTTAAGGCAAGTTAACTACACCTTATATATCTAATAAGGGGTGGAAAGGTGAAAGGAGGTATTTAGAAAACTTGAGGCAACAATTTTTTACCATACAAGCCAAAGGACGCTTAGGCTTCTCCACAAGGACGTCGCAGGCACACCCTCACCTTTCGTTTACCATTAAAAATGGTTAAATTTTTTCCTTATTACTTCGAACAATAAAAAGACTTCATTATTTTCCTCTTAGATAAATTTTTAAAATTTAAATTTAAAATTTAAATTTTTTTAAAATTTGCCACTAAATAACAGCTAGCGTCTTTTTAGAAGACATTTTCGCCAAAAATGCGGTTCTTTCTTCTTTTACACTCCCTTACCTCGTTCGTCAAAATGCTCCATAGAACGAAACCTCTTTATTTATATCACTTAAAAGAATAAAAGCCAAGTCATTGTCTAGCGCGCGTCGTTCAAGAAACATCAAATCGTGTCGTACGTTGTCGGGTAGGGTGTGGACAATACTTAACCACTCCATGAGCTGTTTCATCTGATGTACAGATTGCAAATTCTGTCGAATGGTCTTAAAGAAGGGCACAGAAGTGCACAAACCATGAGATATTATCTCTCGAAAATATTTCCGTGGAAAAAGCTGTCGTACCTTCAAACGAGTGAGAGCGAAAAGAGAGAGTGGATTGAGCTTAAAGAGGGTAATTATCCTTGTGTGGGTTTCGTCAATTATGGCGGCAATGGTTTGCTCATCGGTGCATGGAATGTCTGGAAGGAAGGCAGCACCTGAGTAGAGTAGATTAAGGAGAAGAAGAAACTTTGAAATGAGAGAGTTTGGTGGCCATTTTACATGAGGATTTTGTACTCGCCATCGCGCATACGAGTCCAGAAGGTGGTAGTAGGGAGTCGCGGTCACTTCACCGTTGACCAATAGATCAGGTGGACTTTGAAGGCCACTTTGAAGGAGTCGTCGAAATATAGCATGAAAGTCAATGTTTGATTGGCTGTAGAGGCTGTGATACATGGAAACGAGCACATTTTTTTGCATTCCCATGGCGCCTACCTCTACCGAACAGCCACGAGCAAGCAAGTTGTCTATTATTCTGACCACAATATGGTCGGAGTCTATAGTAACGGTGGCGCCAGATGCTTGCACAAAAACACAGGAGTAGAGAAAAAGATCAAGAAGGGACATGGACGTACCATTTTCCAGGCTTGTATGGATCGGTATATTTTGTGAGAGAAGTTCCAACACTCTATGCCATCTTTGATCAAGCATTGCATTTAAAATGAGTTTCGTCGGACTTTGTGACTGTTGGCATGATTCAGAGAGGTCAAATAAGGACGAGTTGACCTCTGAAATGGGTCGTCTTGCCTGTCTGATTGAAATTCCTGGCCAACTAACTCGTTCTGCATTGGAGGAAACCTTTGTCTTTAGCTCCATGGCATCTAACCTTGGTGCCTCATCAAAATCATGATGACATCGAAAATAACCATTACTTCCACGTTCACGAAGGAATTTTGGTAGGTGCCAAGAGATTTTACTCCGGTGCTTTGGCTCTTCCAATGGAATAAAGGGAATTTCCTGGGTGTTTTCAGAAGCGAGGCGATTTTTAACTGCATTGCTTAGCTTCTGCACGATCGAATGCATTCCGGATGATAAAAAGCTCTCATGCATGATAGAAGAATGTCCTCCATTCATTGAAATAATCACTGCTTGGTGCACTACATCAACTTATTCTAAAGGAAAGGCAGCGTCGTTTCCTATTTGTCCACTTCGTAACCAATCAGGAGATTGCTTTCTCCTGTGGTTTAACTCTACCCTCTTTGAGATTCGTTCATGTTTGATATGCTGCAATAAGGTTATGTATTTAATTTGAAAGTTTTTGTTATCTTTTTCTAGATTAGTGGATTTTGATCAATCAAACGTTAACCTTGAAATAGACCAATAAGGTTGCAGCAAAAATTTGATTGGCTACATGGATTGCGATACGGACAGTTGATTTTTTGGGACAATTTATCGATTTCCCTGCTTTATTATACACCACATATCAAACATGAATTCACCTTAATTGTAGAACTTGGGGATGAGCGGGTTTTATCGCACTCAACTGAGTCAGTCAATAGTGGATGTGTTCTGCGTTGCTCTTGGATAAATGTGTTTCTGTAGCACCTTAGGTCGAATGTGAAGCAGCCAAAATGGATTACTCACTAATAAAAAGAAAACCTCTATCGTTGATTGACGTTTTGATTATTATGTCCTAAGTTTGTTACAATCACCTTAGGGACACGGTGTGAGCACATCTTGGCAGGTAAGTAGTTGATGTATTGACGGATGTTGAGACGATTTCTGGATTACTGGGTTCATTAAAACAAGCAAATGCATAATTATCGGCTTCCGCCTTAACGAATAAAAAGATGCTTTTGTGGAGGACTTGTATTCTACCTACCGAACAATTTTACACCACCCATTATCTTCCCATCGCCAGGAGTTCTTTAATCATGCATTGTGCAAGTATGCCTGTGAAGACTTGTATACAAGAGACACAATGATTTTCTTCAACTCTCATCTCCTCGTGGAAAAGCGATATGCAGACCTAATGAAGTTCAGGATGTGAGCCCTGGAGAGAGGTTGTCAGTACGACCGTCGTTGGAGCTTTGGAGGCTGAGTAAGGTGGATGGCTAAAAAAAGGGTTCGCTCCGCTGATGTTGCTTCTCCAAGGCTCCATTCCTCATGCCCCATTGAACTAAGAAAAAAGTGGAAATGATTAAAAAAAGGCCACCTGGAAACCTTTTTGTCGTCGTTTATTGCTTCCGCACCTATAAATCTCCATTCAATCGGTAGATGTCGAATTTGTATTTGCTCATTTACTCCTAAGATCGTTTTAAATAGGCGATAACAGTTTATTTATACTTTACTTTCTTCCACAACGTTGACGTGGTAAAGACTGTCACCCTTATTGCTGTTTCGGTTTGTTTTGTCATGGCCTGTAGCAACTAGAAATGCGCTAGCGTCAAAGGTGATCTTTGTAGAGGAAATGAACCTGTTCTTGTCAATATTGTAGACTAGTAACGCCTTACTTAGTGAGTGAATCAGTGAGGCGTGGCTGCTCTAACAATCGCTGTGACTCATGTGCTTTAGGAAAGGCGGAAAAGGAGGAGGCGGAGGTGGTGGAGACGGATACATTTTAGTGCATCAGTCCTCACGCTTAGGGCGTTGGCAGTTATGACAATTGCTAAGCCAATGACCAGAATACAGTCATGTACTTAATAGCAAAGAGAAAAAGGTTGACCATTAGCGATGTTCAGACCATTACCTCCCAATTCACTCACAATAATTCCTGAGATGGCATAATACGTCTCCACTGTGGCTGAGAGCGGCAAAAGCCTTAACTATGGTTTGAATTTGATAAGAGTCTTAAGGCTAAAGAGGTACATTTATGCCAATCAAGAACATCATAACCTCTAGTAAACACTAAAAACGACTAATTTTTGGAATGAAATAGAAAAGGGAAGAAGTTAGGGAGCAGTACGACAACATCATTTGGTTTTATCAACATTAAGAGTCGAAGAGAGTTGTCCCATGTGATTTTTCTACCTCATACAAAAATGTGAAGGTGTGGTGATTGAGGAGGGAAAGCATTCAATTTTGGCAATTCCTAATGAAGTGCGTCTTGATGGTGAGGATGCAGTCCAAATGATGGATTCCACCAGACTTTAGCACAAGTAGAAGCCGACCAATAAAGCACACATGCAAGTGTAAGGACGTCTGAGTTTCAAAAGAAAATTAAAGACAATACAAAGCAACTTTTATGTTTTACTTTTCTATACAAGAACACATTTTGCAGTTAATAGGCGTTCAAGTTAAAAGGAATGAGATAACCTAGCCCAAAACACTGTAACATTTTCGATGGTTTTAAAGGTTTATTTGGATTACTCTTTTATATTTTATCCTTTGTCATTATCGTTACAATTTAAAGAACATTCTTTTTGTGAAAATTTGACTTCCCTGACTGAAAGACGGTTAGGGAGGCGAGTAAGGCTGGCCTACACGGTAAAGTAGCTGGGAGTAGAAGCCGAGATAACAAGCGAGTGCCGAAGCCAGACATTTCGGCGTGCATACACACACCACCTAGACAGATACCTCTATGATAAGTATAAAACCATCAAAAAAGCTACCTCGTAGCATAAATACATATTGAAACAACTTGTTTATCCGACTTCTCATATGTGGCAGGAGGCTATATTTTGGTATTGAGCCTGCTTTTGAAAAGTGGACTTAACTTCAAACAAGGCCTAAGTTGAACAGTCTTCCTTCCTTAGAATGATAGCATGCAACAATGTCTAGTGCCCTATACCGTCAAACGGAACATTCCAAGACGTTTAATTTATTATTGCACGTCTAAAAATGTAATAACTTGTTTCTTTGATGACCTGCATGACAAGCGGTCACTATTGTATTTATCCTGCTTTTATTTGCGTGGGCTGGCCTTCGAGTAAAACCAAAGAACACACTCCCCACTTCGCCCTACTTCCATCTATTAGCTCTAATTAATACCTTCTAAAAAAAGAAACAGCATTTTCTGTTCGAATTAATTTTTTAGACTACTCACCTTTGTAACCATAGCTCTTTGGTAGATGCCTCCATTTGTGGGGATTCGTTTCGTGGCTGTCGTTTTTTTTTAGGTTGTCTTGCCTTTTGCCCATGTGAATAGTCCTCTTTCATTCATTTCTGTTTGAGTATGTGTTCAACCAAGTGTTATGCCTTCCAGTACTTAATGAAAAGTCTCAAAGCTCTACAGCAAATGCTAAAAGTTAATTATCAGTGACGTGTTTGATAAATGTTTAGATAAACCCAAAATCACTGAAATGTTATGTTAATTGCAATTGCTAGCTCATCCATCATAGGTCCGCGTCTCTGGATAGCTTTAAGTGGGACCCCATATTTTATAAAATTTTAATAGTGTAACACTATAGACATCTACTTGGCTTAGTAGAGGTGTACTGCAAAATAAATCGCATGGGTGTTTAAATCGACCATTTGATAAATCACGCTCCCAGCCACCAATAAACGTCCTAGCGTAGCGTCTCAGGTGGTTATAACCTTCGTAGCACATTCAGAATGCACGAGTGCAATTTGAATACAGTCTAACGAAACACTACAGCAGAAAATAAACAATTTTTAGTCATAGTATCAAAACTCAATAGTATCTCTCACATGGAACCATTTCAAACATTCACTCTTCCGGCAAATAGTTGAGATATTGGATCACATTAAAGATCAATATGAGGAAGTACTCTTTCGGTAGACTAACAAAATTGTAATATTTACCATAGAAGGGAAAGATTCGACCTAATTATCATTATTTTACGAGTCTCTACACACCTAAGCGTTTCATAATGAGGCAGATTGTCGTAATCTAACTTTGGACTAGATTATTTCCTGGTAATTTCGCACGGGCTGATGGGTCCAGAGTAAAATGATCTTAACTGAAGCATTTGCAGTTCGACATCATCAAAATGCAATCTTATCAGTTAAATGTGATGGCCCAAGTCTTAAAAGCATGTTTACCATGCTGGCTATGTTCATGATAAAATTGTAAAAAAAGTTGACGAAAGATTAAGTAATGCACTCCGATGGCATACCGAGGAATTTCATAGCACCCTTTTAGAAATTGACGATGAATTTCAGAACCTGTACTCAATCTGTGGCCGATTTGGAATTTTTTATATTCGTGAGCCTGGTAGTTGAAAAGGTGTGATACTGTTTATTTAATTCCGTCTTGTGATTCTACTGCAGCATGTTTTTACGAATGACGACACGGTCTGAGCCTATTTTTTGTGATATCTCTCCATTTCATTTCTTTAATTTATCCAAATTAAACTGCTTAATCTTCTCTATGAGAGCTAAAGTCGGTCAGTTTGAGTTCTCGCGCATGTCGATGGGATGGAAGAGAAACTATTAATTGCATGAGTCTACGAGAGGATTGTGTGGTCTAAACGAATTGACTCCTTCCCGTCCTTGTCATCATCGACACTCACCACCGGTTTGCCATTAATTGGGTATTAAATCTCTTACAAAGTGTTGAAGGGATCTAGCACGGATTTATTGTGCAATGTTATCGATGGAGGACTCATCGAACCATTCTGAATGACTAAAGGGGAGCTGTAAGCCTACTAAGATTCTCTGTTAAA